AGGGGCCGGTGGATCACTGAATGCCTAACTGCAGTGAGCGAATCCCCTGATAACTATGCGGGAGAGGAGCCAAGCCAGCAATCCAAGGAGAATAGCTTCTGTTTGCTGTGCTGTGAATTAGTCATGGCTTGAGGTCCACAAACACAGCGTTAGGTGTCACTGCCTTGGGGGATTCTCCAGTCTCCACAAATACAGAGTAAATAAACAGGAATGAGGACATAGCCACGGGGTATTTACCCTGGAGTTACCCTGTGCTTAGGGATTTTGTCTGTGAAACAAAGCGTTGCTGTGATTAAAGAGATCTTCCTTATTGTGTGACTGGGATGATATGGAAATGCCCAGCCAGGAGGGTTTTCATCCTAACTTCACCAGCAACATCCCTCCGGAAGGCACTTCCCATCCCGCAGTGTGCTGTGCATCGCTAATGTAGGGACGTGCTGTTCTCTTCCCTTTGTGCTTCCAGGGGGCTGGCACCGATGAGAACATTCTCATTGAAATTTTGGCCACTCGGAACAATCGGGAGATCCAGGCGATTAACGAGGCGTATAAAGCAGGTAAGGAAGCCAGAGGAGAGATCTTAGAGAAATGCCGGGGGGGGAATCTGCCTGGGGAAAAGAGGGCTACATTTCAGCATTACTGAAAGTGAGGGACTCAAGACCAATGCTGACCAAGCTCCCCGCAGTACAACTCTGCCAGGGTAAGTGGTCTATGTACCGCTGCTGCTCCAGGCTTGGGTTCCTCACACAGCTCTATGAAGGCACCTGAAGCCTTCTAGGTATGGCCAGCGTCTCCCAAATGGCTCTTGCCTCCATTCAGGAGCAATAGAAACGAATGAGGTGCTTGGCACAAGTCCTAGATTTCCTGCATGTCCATCCTCAGCAAACGGGATCCCTGCCCGCCTACCCAGGCTCTTGTCTTAGTGCCCATCACCATTGCTTCTCCCTGAGCGCCTGTCCTTAGAAAACGGGAGAGTCCAGGATCCCATTCCAAGCCCTTCCCCTTCTCTCCCAAACACCCGCTGCCCTGGACCAGACAGCTCCATGCGTGGTAACGAGCTGTACATGCCCGTCCTGGAGCCTCGCCATGACCCAGTTGCATGACTCATGTCCTACCCTTGCCCTCTCCTCTGTCCACTCTTCCTCCATCTGGCCCTTTCGTTATGGAATCTGTGGAACAGAGGGCTTGTCCTTTACCATGTGGGATCAGGTGAAGGCTTTTCAGCCGGCCTCCAATTCCAAGCACCCATTGTTCCATGTCCAAAACGGTGCCTGTAAAAGCTGTTGTGCGTCCATTTTATGTGTGCAAATAAGGCAGCTGGATACACAGGCCGTAGGGGCAAAGGACCGCTCTCACCTGCCCCGTTCCATCCCCAGGGCCCGGGTGGCAAACATGATCAGCTGCCTGAGCAACACCGGATGCATGAGCGGAAGGCGGGGGCTGACTCTTTGAGGTGGGATGCATATTTATATTGTGTTCGGTTTTGCGCTCCTTTCTCCTCAGCCTATCACAAATCTCTGGAGGATGCGCTGAGCTCTGACACATCAGGACACTTCAAGAGGATTCTTGTCTCCCTGGCGCTGGTAGGGTCACTTTTTCTCCAGTGTGCTTTGCTTGTGGGACTCTGGTTTTCCAATCTAACCTCTCGCAAAACTCCAGTTTCCTCATAGCCCCCTTTCTCCCCGACAGTTGACAGGGATGTGGTTGTGTTTCTTCAGGTAGAATCTAAGACAGCTTGCAGAACTCAGGAATACACCAGGATGCCTTGGTGTTTGCCCATTGGTTGGCTGTACCCACTCAAATCTTTCACTTCTAGCTCCTGTGGCCTATAGGAAAGCAACATGCCAAATGGCCATCCAGTCAGACTGCAGGCTGTTGAAAAGGTCACACTCTAGGGCACATTTTTTAAAGGGGGAAACGGAGCTATAAACCCAGACAAAAATGTCCCGAGAGTCCCTGGGCCAGATCCTCAGCTGGTGTCAATCGGTGTAGCTCTCCTAAAGCTAACCTCCTGCTCTGAGGCCCATGATGCTGTGGGGATTGACCCCAGCTGCGGATCTGGCCCCATCTCCTCTCTATTTCTGAGAAGGTAACTGAGCCCTGGACAGGAAATGTTCAGGGCTCTCAGGCAACCTGTCCTTAACGAACAGGACTTGGTGATGCTCTATCCCAGCTGGTCAAGGAGTGTTGGAGGAAACGTACTCAGTGCGCACATGCTGGGGTGGGACTGGAGATCTAACCGTGGATGGTCCTGGAGTCTTTGTGCCCCAGTTAAACTCCTGATAAATAAATATACTGTCACTGCAGAGAACAGGGAAAATCCAGGGAGCCAGGTGGCTTAAAGGGACATTGCCACACAGATAGTACTGTGGACTCCAGTCCTCTAATTTTATACGGAACAGGCAGCAGAAGCACTGGCTTCCCATCCCCATCCGTGTGTGTCAGGTGTCTTCTGGAGAGACCCCTGGCAGGGGTGAAAAGGGAGTGCAGGCTCCAGGGAGCCCATTAGTGCTAAATGCGTGGCCTTTGGGATCAAAAACAACAAGGAGTCTGGTGGCACCTTAAAGACTAACAGATTTATTTGGGCATAAGCTTTCGTGGGTAAAAACCTCACTTCTTCAGATGCATCCTTTGGGATGTAGACCTGTGTCCATTAGGAACCAGGCAGAGGTCACCAAACAGTTGTCAGCCAGCCAAGGCTTTTGCCACCAACCACGTGACCTGGCTGTGAAAGACTCTCTCTGCCACAGCTAGTAGTCTCAGCCGTCCAATATCGTTTGGGTGTGCAGCAGGGACAAGGACCCTTCCTGCTCTGAGCAGACATTTCTTCCAAGATCCTTTCTCCATGACTGTCATGTTTAAACACAGGGCAACCGTGACGAAGGAGGAGAAGACCTCACACGAGCTCATGAAGATGCCAAGGTGAGAACTGAACCTGCAGGTGTGCACACGTACACACATGCTCACAGACTTGGGAGTCGGTGTTATTTATCAACCTCTCCTTTGCTCCTTGGATCTGAGAATGCCCACTCCGAGACCGCCTACCCTCTCCGTTTCTGGTGGGTTCCCTGGACCCAGCACTGAGGTGCAGGGGGCCTTCAAAGAGTTTGCGCTGCTTAGTAGCTCTTCTTTTCCCAACCTAAAGGAAAAATCTCAATGAAATTTTCCATGAGAATAGTCTAGCTGGGGCTTGCAGAAATCACACCGTACTGCTAGGAGAACTGGGAGGAGTTAGGGGGATGGTGCTTCCTTTTAGAATTTAAATCAATCATTTTATTAGTTAAAAAGACGTAGAATTAGTGAGCGGGTTGGTGTCCGAGGCCCTGAATGAAGTGCTGTAACATGTGCCAGTCTGCCCAGAGGTCACTTTGGCATTGTATCGGATGGAATTTTCAGACCATTCCTTTCTGGGTTCCACGGCGGTTTCACGCTGGTTAGTGCGATCGTTGACGCTTTTCCTGTTTGTCTCCTGTCTTCGCTTTGCTCCTTCCGCCTGCCTTGAACGACACCAGCCGCTGCCCTTGGAAAGTCAACAAAGCCAAAACGTTCAAACTGGGAGCCTAACATCCGGCACCTAAACAAGGATCCTGGTCTTCTGAGGTGCTCCAATGGGAGCTGTGAGGGCTCAGCGCCTCTGCAAATCAAGCCATGGCTTCAGGTGTCCAACGTCAGGCCCCCACGTTTGGAAAGTCTGGTCTTCATGACTCAGATGTTCCCATGCAGAAACCTACATGAAAAATGCCTAGTGAAGCGGAACCGTTTCTGGGACAAAACTATGTGTGTTTGGGTAAAACTGCCACCCTTGATTTCTGCATGCCCTAGTTCTAATATCCTGGAGACATTGCTGTTGTATGTAAACATACAGGGCAGCTACAAACCATGACAGAAGACAAGGTCCCTCTCCTGAGAAGCTCCCAGTCCTGCCCCCTGGATTGTAAATGTTCTTATCAAAGGAAAAACCTCTTCCCCCCTCCCCACCCCCACTTAGTTGTTCAGTAGCTAGTTTGCAAAATAGCCACCATTTTTGTGGGCCACACACAAAAAAAGTCAGATCCCCTTGCTCGCACCACCGCTGCAGTTAGCTTAGGAAGGCTGTCCCGTGGAGAGAAGCTTAGCGCTTTCGCTTCACACAGGCTGGCGCCAGTCGCTGCTGTGGTTTTGATCCGCGGGAGTTACCGATCCCTTGCGTTTTGCTGGCAGTGACTCCGAATCTCAGAGTGGAAGGCAGCTGAAACAGCTGAGCTGCACCTGGTTCCTAATCTGAATCAACCAGGAACTGCTGAATTCATGATTTCAGCACAAACCCCTAAACCAGCCCGGGCTTGCTTGAAAGGCCCCTGGTCCCCAGTGAGCATGGCACGAGTGCTCGGTTGGTTACTCAACTGGAACCAGGCAAGGTTAGCCTGGTGGGGTCAAGAATGAAGACCCCCTTGACACAGCTCTGCCCTCCACAGAGCTCACGCTTCAACCCCCGTGACAAGAATCATCTCCCTTCCCCGCTGCCCACTGCACTGCACCATCTGAAGCTCCAAAGCCTGTTTACGAATCTCGCTGGCCTGAGCTATCTGAGGTGGCTTCCAAGGGCTGTTTGAATATTCTGCTGCTGCAACACCTGTGGACACGGCGGCTCCATGGCCCCGCCATTTGCTGCTCTCTGTGCTTGCAGCTTGAAGCCTGTTGACATGTGCCTTTCATTAGCGCGGCTGGCACTGTTCTCCTGGAGGATGTCGTTAGCATTGCTACCAGCAGAGGGGGGGCTAGCATCACTACCGCATGCTGCTGTGCGTTCCTCCTACGCCTGTCCTGTGCAGTGCTTCATTCGGGCCTGCCGCTGATTGTACCGGAGAAAGAGAGAGACAGCGATCAGTGGCTAAAATGACCTATGCTGAGCAGATGAACTCGAAATCCCAGGCCCCTGTTCAGGCCATTCCAGCCAAACTGCTCCCCATGGCTCAGCCCTGGAGGGATGCACTGGAATAATCTCACAGTTCATCAGATAGCAAGACCAATGCCCTCCCCGCCCAGCGCCTGACCTTCACGCAGGCTCGGAGAGGGCAGAGTAGGTTTTCGAGGCTGGCAGAAGAGAACAACGGTCCCCATGTATTTTTGTAGGCCACCTTGTGTGTGTGTGGAACACCTTCCCTCTCTCCCTGCACCAAACAACCCCCCTGACCTCCTCCCAATTCCTGTGGCTTGGCCTTGCATCACCCAGCTCCTCTCTGGCATGTGCACAGGTTGCCCTTCACGTCCTCATTCCTCTCCCGCTCCGGGTATGTCCACACTGCAGTCACGGGGTGTGATTGCCGCTCAGGTAGATGGACCTGAACTACCTTTAATCCGGCCAGCTCAGGTGCCAGAGCAGTGAAGTGGCAGCAGCTGCATGCCTGGCCCCGTAATTACCCTGGCTTGGACAGCCTGTGCTGAAGTGCGCACCGCCGCCTGCACTGCTGCCGAACCCGAGCTAGTGAGATTAAAGCTGTAATCACCCCCTGGGACTGCAGCCCAGACATTGCCTTAGCCTGCCAGCTCTTCAGAGCAGGGGCCTTGTCTTCCAACGCGTTTGCAAAACTCCAGGTGCATTGATGGCGCTCTGTGAATAATAATGATGGGAGGGATGGTGTCCCCAGCCTCTGTTTGCCAGAAGCTGGGAATGGGCGACAGGGGATGGGTCACTTGATGATTCCCTGTTCTGTTCATTCCCTCTGGGGCACCTGGCACTGGCCACTGCCGGAAGACAGGATACTGGGCTAGATGGTCTGACCCAGTAGGACCGTTCTTATGTTTTTATGCTCCATCACCCTGCTGGGAGACCACCACCTCCAATGAGATTTCCACTACACGCTCCGTTCTCCTCTGACCCACACGGGGATCTTCTCTTTAAGGGATTGTTAGCAGAGGAGGGGTAATGGAGTTTTCTATATTTTACCTAATGCACTTGTGAACAGCCCGATTGCCTGCCCTGGCGACCGCTGGCATTTTCAGCAGCCGGGTCAGCAAAGGGCATGGCCAAGCCTCTCAGTGGCCAGAACATGGGCGCCTCACCAGGCGCACGTGAGTCCTCTTCTGCCACCCTTGCCTCCCTCTCTCTCGGTGGGGGGAATGATCGGTGCCTCCCCCAGGAAAGGGGGTGTGCTGCACATCTCTGACCCTGTTGCCTTCCTCTCTCCCCCCCTCTCTCTTTCTCTCTGCCAGGTGGTTGCGGAGAGCCTGGTGAGTGCCTGCCCTTTTATTCTTTGACCCCCATCTGCATGATTTACAGGGTACTACCCAGTGTGTTTGCAGTGCTGGAGGGGGAGGAGGCAGAAAAAACCTGCCCACTGCACATGCAGACCAGGCTGCAGGCACCTCCTAGGGGTTCTCTGGCAGGGAGCTCGCCATCTCGCGCCAACCGTTCCCACGGGCCAAATCCTGCCTCCTGCCTCTGTCAGAGCTCCCCTTTGAGGTCAGCTGGGGAGTTTTGCAGGAGTGCGGGCTCCAGGCCTGAGCCCATGTACCCAGTGTCCTGGGGGAGCAGCCTAGGCAGTGGTCCAACTCCACAATTTCTCGCACGCACACACACCCCCTCCCAGCAAGTCCCATGGGAACCCGAGTGACAAGACCGGTGATGGGTGCCTGGGAAATGTGAGTAATAGCAGAGTCCCAGGGCAGTCCCAAGTCACTTCAGAGGGGGCAGCACTGTGGGCCCAAGCAGGGGAGACATTTGCTATGGGGAACAAGGGCAGTTCCCCCCCCCCCCTCTTTTTTTTGTCCACAAACAACCCCCCCCCCCCCCCCCCCGAACTCTTCTGAAATGATGCCCCCGGGCCAAGTTTAGTTGTACACCACGTAGCCCCATTGACTGCCGTGGGGTTACTCCTGATTGACACTGGGCCAAGCTTTATATCTGCACTCCCAGCAATCCACAGAGGCGTCTGCAGACTCCAGCCAGACTGACAAGCCTCTCCGTGCCCAACGGGGCCCCAGGGGATGTGCCCTAGAGCCTGGCCAGGCCTCAAGGTGCACTTGGGGGCTTGAATGAAAGCTGCTTAAACAGGGCCCACGCTAAGTGGGAAGGTGCTGCACTAGGGGGAAGAGAAGGGGGATCCGATCCTTTCCAGCCGAGATGTGGAACAGCTGGGAGCCAGTCCTGTTCCCAGGGCCAGTGCCACCACTTAGGCCCCCCCCCCCCCCCCGCGGCCGCCAACCCCCCCCCCCCCCCCGGGCCCCCCCCCCCCGCGCCGCCCCCCCCCGTGCAAGGTCCCCCTCCGCGGCAGCTAACACCGCCC